TGGATGTCTTCAGAGATTGCTTTCTCTTTAAATGCTTTCATATGGGCATAAACTCAAATACAAAAATTGTGGAAATTACAAAAAGTTGTTAAACGAAAGTGTTTGATCTTTTTTATTTGGAATCCATTCCGCTCGTTGCATTGTTGTGTGAAAATTTAATAGCAGCAGAGCAGAAGCTCAAGAATAGCACAGACGTAATACTTTGTTTTTAAAATTGAGTATTCCAGCTAAGCGGTATCCGAGATTTCCAGTGCCGATTATATAACCACCCAATTATTGTGTCGCTGACGTAATTTGCTGTTTCTCTGACTTTCAAAACATCGTTTTTGTATAAATCGTAAAAAAACAGTAGAATATCATGACTCTGCATAAGTGTGTGTGTGTGTGTGTCAGTCTGATCGCAGCGCTTCGCTAGCTGGAACATTAATACGTCTGGCTACTCGGGACAGCTGTTAATTCAAAGTGTGGTCCTATGCAGCTGGTCGTTTTCCACTTTCAAAGTTGTTTTGGTCAATGCTGCATCGCCGCAACAGTCATTCTGCTGACAGCCCTGACGCTTTTGTCACATCCTGATAAAATTGTCATCTCAACGTTTTTGTCAGGAGAAGCACTTGGCATATCGCTGTTTATCTGTAATTTTTTTTTTGTTATCCCACCCCCTTGCGCCTTTTGTTAGCGAGATTGATTTCTGTTCTAGGAAAAACTCCCCAATATTCGTCATTTTTCCAAGTTTGAATCTGCAAAAGATCATTGCAGTTAGACCTGTTTTTTTTTTTTGACAGAACTTGTAACAGTGATTTGGTATGGGATAAGAGTTCTGTAAAAAATATTTGCGCATGCATATCCAAAATTCCCAAAGGGGAGGGGCATTCCGTCTTTTGCAGTTCAGCAAAGGGCTGCTTGGCTACTCATCTCCTGTCCAGTGCTCCTGTTCTTCACCTCACCATTTTATCACAGTGTCACTTCTAAACCAGAAGTATTGTTCTTGCCTGTCACCACAGTTGTCCATCAGTACCGAAATGTTTTTGCTGTACTACAGTGCATTCTTGTGCAATAAATATTTTTTGTTCACTTGTTTTATGCTCTCACTCTGTACAACTGACAATCATCGCTGCAAAAACAACACATTTTGATGCCGTTAATTTCGCCGTCCTGAGTCAGAGCGGTGCCTTTCTCGAACGAATCAGGGCCTGTCACTTGTAAGGTGTTTATTTGTTAAAAAGTGTGGAGAAGTGCAAAGGAACAAAACAATGTAATACGGTAGAGGCTACGGACGAAAAAAAATTTGAATATTTGTCTGTGGTGATTTCCGGAACTAGTGT